CTAATGGAAAAGCGCCATCTCTTCACACGTTTAGTCAGACAGCAGTGCTTTTGATTTTGAGAAACGAGAATGAAATTTTTCTTCTCGTTCGCGTTCCATTGCTATGGTCATCTCTGCAATAAAAACAATGTTGATAACTGCAGCTTGGCACAAGTCTTCCTTCTCCTCCTATCCCCTCCCCACAAAAAAAAGAGAAAACTATCCGCTTGCTATGTTTACATTTTTGTGGACAAAGCAAGGACACGAGCGAAAATAGGAAGAGTGCGAGCAGTGAATGCCTAGGCTAACGCCGTTGGCTGGCAGCCAATGATTAATGGGTGGCCCAAGCAAGTGGCCGCAGCCACCAAGACGTCGTCGTCGCCTGGCTCACGGCCTCATCGCGATCTAACACCCATTGGAATCACCCTCTTGAAATCGCAGCCCAGAGGAACGTCACCAAACACCCTGCTCTCGCTTTCGTTCTCGGGCCCAGTATCGATCCTCACACCGATTCGCGTTTCACTCACGATCGAAACTGCGTGTGAAATGTAACCTATATCGCTGTTTTCTTTTTTTGAAGATTATCGCCAGCATCATGTTCGTTACTGTAACAGCAGTCCGGCCTGCCTCACTAATTCCTTTTTTTTTTCATAAATGCGCTGATTTCCTTCATGGCACTACATTTCAAGACGCACCTTTTTGTTCGTCTCATCAATTTCAGTTGTTTTTTGCACACAAGTGAAGTTCATGTTTTTGCTGCTTTGTAAACACTTGTTGTCGTGACCTTTATGCGACAATTGCTTATTTGCAGTTTTCGTATAAGTCTTCTCGCCGTTAGCTTAGCTTTTCCAATGATTCATCTTGTCATTTTGGTTTGTTTCTGCTTTTGAAAGTTGGTTGCGCTCAGTCACGTCTTGAAATAGGGTTTTTTGCTGATCCTTCACAAAAAAAAATCTGGTTTGTTTTCTTTCGAAAAGCCATTAAAAACTCAGAATATAGAGAATATTCTGTTCAAATAATGCCATGAGCAATATCCAATCGCATGGCTCGCTAAGTTTTCACGGCAAAGCAGTCAAACAAACAGTTTTCCAAAATACTTCCTGATGCTTTTGAATTACGAATGAAAGCGGAAATATGTTCGGTCTTGGGATTAGCTTAAATCTAAAAAGACATGAGCAATTAAACCTCTCAACCCTCATACTTTATAAAGTTTTTAGGCTTTTGGTAGTAATTACACTTTAATCAGCTGATGAGCGTATTCCTTTCCTACCGCCTTTTGAGATAACATTTCCTGTGCTGCACCACAGGAGGTGATTCCTGGTAATCATTGCCTGAGATCCTTACACAACCAGTTCTACTTTCATGCTATTTATCATAGATCTTCTTGCTTGCTTCACAACAGATCGCACAATTAGGGTTCATGCGAATATGAACTCTTCTTTTACCTCGTATATCATCTGTCTTCGTTATGGAAACAGTTATTCCATTATTTAGTTTCACAGCAATTTATATGGTTCAGAAAGCATGCTCTGAAGCACTCTGCATTGAAAATCAAACTTCTAGCATCTTTTCACTGCTGCAGAGGGCGTTCTATTGTCGCTAACATTTTGAATCTGATACTATGTGATTATTTATGAAAGATCTCTTCCCCACCAGGCGGCGCTGGATCATAGCTGCCGCTCATTTTCAGTATTGATGTTTCATTTGCAATGAGATGCAATATAGCGATGTTGTTTCTTGTTCTCTGATTTCACTTCACACCATGTGCTTTTATTCATTTTGTCACCGCATTGCGCGCCATTTGCGGCCGTTGTCGCTCCTTTTTGCTCATTTTGCGTCATTCATGGTCGGTGGTACTGTTATTCAGTAGGAACCGATCAACAAAGTTTTTCAGTCGCCGGTCGCGGTTTCTACCCTGTCGCATCGACGACGATTCTGGAACGATGCGCGGCGTCGCGGCTTCCTACGACGACAAGCCGCCTCCGCCACCACTACGATTTAGTAGTGGTTCAGGTGGAAAAGAGCAATCGGTGTGTTTGATTTTAGTTCTACAATATATACGATTTTTGGAGTTTCATGCCAATGGCTGAACCCACCTGTATATGCCATATGTATATGTATGTGTAAATGTATG